AATGAAGCACAACTGCTAAACAGACATACAGTTGCATAGGTTATCTATCGTTTCAGATAGAACTGTGCTTGAGGTATAGTCTCAGTATATGGTTGACAGCAGCAGGATCAACAGAGTAAGAAAACGTCAGTTAATAAGTTAAAATTAGTGTTTAGATCCTGGCAAGAGCAGCCCCAGAGATGTGACAAGCCTGGTCTGCTGGCCAGCGAACCACAAAGTCAACCCTCAGGATCGAACAGGGAGGCCCCTGCCCAGAAACAGGCCGACACAGGGAACAGGCCGGCCATTTACACATCCTAAGGCCATGAAAACAGAGGTTAGAACTTACTGCGGCTTACTGTTAACCAGCAAGTTTAGACGGCTTTTTTCTCCTACTGACTTATTCTAAACGTACAGGAGCTCAAACATTATAATTGCATTATGGAATTGATTTCAGCAAATATTGTGTATCCATCTAGTATATTAAGTATATTAAGTCATAAAAAACAGAAGAAAACACAGAAAAGCATCGTCTTGTATATGAATCACCTTGAAAGCAGATGTCTGCTAAGTTTCCACGCTCTCCCGAAGGGCAGCGCGACCAAGGGACGGTTTATTGTTAACGCAGTAATTGGGAACATAAAAGCAAAGTGAAGTGAAATGGACTAGTGCCTCATACTCCTCCCCCGTCTCCGGGGTCACCCCAGGTGTGCAGCAAGTGTTTGAATGTGTTCAATTAGCTTGTGTAACCAGAGGCAGAGCGCACAGTTAATCCCACAGCACCTGCTGTCCTTTCGCAGGTAACCCAGCCAGGGGGGCAGGGCATCACACTAGACTGCCTGCAGCTGCTCTGGATTTAGCCCATTTATCTGATTGGAGATCATTTCAAAAAAACATGATTATTAGAACACGAACCAGGCCAGCAGATAAACCGCACAACAATACAACGAGCCAGCTTCTTTCTTTCTCATCCGCCTCCCCCTCTTCTCCTCGTCGGAATGATTGTCCCTTCCGGCTTTCGCATTTTTTCTTCCTATTCTTCCATCTTGTATTTTTTCTTCACTCCTCGCACATCCACTCAACTCAAAATTAAAAACATGAGATTAGAACCCGTTCTAACCTTTGCCAGCCTTGCGGCTGTGTCGCTCACAGATTTCCACAGGAGGCTCGAGTGGAATCACGGGTGGTGATGGCGCGGCGCGGCAGGAGAGCGAATTCAGGGAGCGAACATATAATGCCCATCAAGCAAGTGAGGTGAATGGCAGGCTTAGGAAATGAAAGGTCCTTCTGCTTTTTTTCATTGAGGGGGTCGAAATGAGTCTCTGGATAAGAGCGTGGCTGCAGCACACACAAATCAAAAGGCAACACTCTTGGGCACCACCTGCTGACAAGAGCTGCAGCCGCTCTCGAGGTTACAGCAGTCCAGACTTCCCATCAGTCCCTCCAACCACTGGACAGACTGCTCTGTAGAGCAGCGCTCTCACCCTGTGAGAGAGGATCTCTGCATTTTACATCTATATTTGCAGTCACAGTTAAGTTAGGACTGTTCCTTGACAAGGCACAGTCCATACAGAACTTCATCCAGGCATTGAAAATCTCCAAAGCTGGTGACGAGGTCAACACAGCAGACTTCAGACTGAGACCCGAACCACAGGACACCAGTGGAAACTGTGTGAATGTGCATTTCAAACAGAGAACAGGAGGAATCTTGTTACCCAAAGGGTTGTGGGAATAGGACATGAGTTATGTAAACATTGTTGAAGCAATTCGACAACAATTCGACAAATTCCTAATGCAAGAAATTGTATATGGCTAATAAAGTGATCTCATTATTCCATGTATTCTTTCAAGACACAGCTGGAGGAGGTCCTCGGATCAATTAACTGCTAACGACCAACTGGGCTAGAGATGGGCTTGATCGTCTCCTCTCATTTATAAGCTTTCTGAAGATCTTAAGTAAATAAACCTTTTCTTTTACTAATTCATATCACTCCCGTTCAATGGGCAAGTTGATTTATTTTATGCTCTCATGTCCAGGGTCCTGGTGCTGGCTGGGAAAACAGTGCTTTCCACTTTAAAATCAGAAGTTCTCGAGTCCACTTTCACTCAAGGCATTGACATGGAAGCGACGGTCAGTGAAAGAGAAGGAGGAGACGCGGTTCCATTAACCACTCCCAGTGGCCTGGTGACAGTGGCCCAGTGGCGGTTCCGCAGACGTTCAGCGGAAACTGTATTTAATGCAGTATCTTTAGCATGGATTTCAATCCTGTGTCAAATCAAGTGAAACTCCAAGTGGTTACGTTATGGTGATGCACTTTGCAGGTAGGAAGGTGGTTAGTTGGCCATTAGATTAAAGGTACGTCCCTCAAAAGACTTACCTTGCTGAACACTGACACTATTTTTCTTGGTGGTTTCTTGGTTCTTTGGTTAGGATGGTTATGTGTGAAGTTCCACGGGGCAGAATACCGAGACCCCTACTGTTGAGAATTCATGTTTCCTCTTGATAATAAACAGGAATTACATCGTCGGAATTATCAGTTCAAAGCAGACGATACTCAAATCCATATGCACACTGACCTGATTGTGATGTGGCCAATTCAGGAGTCCTATTACATTTCTGATATTAAAGTTTAGGGCGACATTTTTTATATTTACTTTGTGATAAGTCTGAGGACAAACTGTTGGGATTCTCCCATCATTTCACAGAGTACAGTTGTGTAAAACCAGTGCTGTAATCACTGCTTCAATTTAGGGGTCATCCTAGATTGACTCTGAAACCCTGCCTACAGAAATATATATATTTTTGTTTCTCGACAATACTTTTGTCCAGGGCGCAACAGGGGACTACAGCCTGGAAAGAAGCTAGTCACATACACACACAATTTAGATTTACAATGTCTCTAGTCAGCATGCCTTCTGGGGGTGTGGGCGGGAAATGGGGGACCCAGAAAAACACCACACGGAAGGAGGGAACTTACACAACACACAAAAGAGGCGCCCCAGGTCAAAACGGAAGCCAGGATCCAAGACCTGTGAGGCAGCAGTGCTAACCACTACCCCATTCTTCAATTACAGAGACATCAAATCGAATCCCGCCAGGACACTGTGTGCTTCGCCAACCCAGCTCCAAACACTGACTCGCCTGGTTGCAGGTAAAGTGAAATGTAATAATGAATGCAACCAATAAGTCTTTTATTGCCATAGATCGGAGAACAAGTACTGTTGTTACAAAATGCCTTCCCAATAGTTTCCATTTATTGAACTTCTGAGATTAATGTTTCAATCCAGTTCATTTTCATTGTCCCTTTTTAATTAAACAGCACCACAACTTTAATATAAATGTGTATTGAGAGTTGTTTCACTGTTCAAATAACGTAACCAAGTAATATACAGTACATCTTGAATAAAGGAAGCTTTCTTGAAAACAAAGGACAGATGAAAGAACAAATTTTAATCTAATTTTGTCAGGCTAGTTGTAAAATGTTAATTAAAGAATGGATGTGTTTACTTCACCTATTTTTATCAATTTTAATTCAGATTTAAGGAGACGTTGGTCCAGATTGGAAGTGGCACTGAATTTCATCAGAAATAAAAGCACAGCCCCGTTGTAGGTACTCTGCAATGTTCACCTTATTTTTTCTGTAAGTTACTTTGTATAAAATGATCTGCTTAATGACTATGTATACAGAAGGGTATTTTGCACCAGCAGCCCAACTGCACAGGAGATTAGGAGGTTAGACCGGACTGAAAAAAGCTTAAATAGGAATTCAGTCAGGACACCATGGTTTGTACCTTACTGTAACATGGCTCATCAGCTAGACCAAAAGAAATTGGGCTTATTTCTCCCATTGTTTCTAACTCTACAGACAGGTAATGCAGAATTTCTACCAACCTAGAGTATTAAAAAGTAGAAGGCTGGGTGATTTAAAATATTTGGAACAGCTTAAAAGGTACTTATTATGCAATAGCAATTTGAAAGCCATTTTCATGTTCTTTGCTCTTAAATAAAGCCGCCTGCAAAGCTCACTTTTTCCTGTTGTGAAAGACCAAACTTGATTGCACTCTGAAACCAGAACTCCTGTAGGGATTTTTTCTTCTTTTTGCAGCAAGACCATTTGATTTAAATTAAAAAAAAGGAATCCCACGTATTTACAGACACCCACCTACTCACACCTCCGCGGAAAGACGAGGACACACACGTACGCGCGCGCGCGCACACACACACTTTTCCTTTCACTCTGCCACACACTCCGAGATCCAGTCCCTGGAATTGAACGGACAGAGCAGCTCGGTAACAAAATATGGTCAGAAACTGAGAAAGAGAATGTTGCCAATCGGAATACACTCCACTCTATTCATTCTTCAGAGAAAAAGATGTCTTGCAATCATAGCCACAGCAGAACAGATTCCTCAAAGCACTTATCTCTCTCAGCCGTGTCTGAAAAGACTCATTTAACTATACCGAGAGGCATTAGAATGCTATTGGTACCAATACACATTTGTTGCCTTTTAGTGCCTCTTCGTACATACCCAGGCCAGGGCCAGACAAACACTTGACACTACAGCTGAGTGATTCAGAGGGAACATCAACAAATGTAGCTCTTAGCACAGTCAGGAATCAGAACCTATAAACTGTTACAGTCCACAGGTTCTCTCACGGAAACATCAGAGCTCAGCACCACCAGAGCTTATAACTGCAGTCTGCACTTCAACATTACCAGATCAGTTGTGATATTTGGCAGATAGTTATGGCAATATTACATTTCTAATCAGCTTGGTAGTGAGATGCTCAATTGAGTTAAGATCTTGCAATTGAGAAAGTGCATGCCACTCTTTGATCATTTCCTTCTGTTGCACAAGATGAGGTATTCAGAGTTTCATTAAAACTTTATGAAATACAACACTGTACTCATCTCCCTGGGGCTAATCTTCCATAATTTCCATAACTCCTCTGTGCTGCACCTTATTCTGAGTGCTTAATATGGTCATAAGGTGATAAAAATTAAAAAGAAGAGAAATGCTTAAAAACAACAAAACAAATTTATTGAGCCAAACTGCACAAGTAATCAATTTAAAAAACAATAAAAACAGCTGCTCACTTTAGCCAAAAGGTCTCTAAAAATAAAAAGGATCTGAAGAAATCTGAAGTAGCTGCAGATTCGCACTCACTTAAAACCGACATTAAGAAAGAACGTGAACTCCGGTCTTAGCATAGTTTCATGCTTTCATGTTTAAGGACCTGAAGTTTCACCGCCTACTGAAACATCAGTCCTAGTGAAATCCCCTGACCTCAGAAGGTGCTCTGCCCGCGCGCGCCTCACCAGACGCAGTAACCAGGGCGGCAGCCACGCCAGCATGAGCCGTCAGACCACGCAGACCAGCGGTGTGTTGAGGTTCCGTCAAGACTGGCGTGCTCAGCAGCCTGCCGCAGAGCCACAGACCGCAGGGCCGATCTGTGGCACCTAGTCCCTCCGACGTCTCCCGTTCCCATCCCCTCAGACGGACACATGGCGCATGTGGAAGTTAACTACGTACTCCGCGTTGGTTCGCTGCACAGAGATCGCGAAGGGCTCGAAGGGGTGGAAAGTGAAAGCCACCAGCCGCCGCACTGTGGGATTAATAGGACGGCCTAAAAGTCCAGCTTGGATCTTGAACTTCAATAACCCCGAGTCCCGGGCATAAAATCTGCAGGACAAAACAGGAAAGACAGTAAAATTGGATTACACGTGCTATTCAAGATTAGACGTTTGCACTGCAAGACTACTCTTGTCAGAAACTCTCTTCGATCCAATCATTGATGACAGAACCACACCTTGCTGTTCATTAATTAATTACATCTGACAGCAGCCAACTGCAACCAGAAGCTGGGCAATAAAGTCAGTGTAAGACCCCCTCCCCACCACCACCAAATACGACCACGTTTCAACAGAGAAATCTGTGCACTAAGGAAAGATATTTCTCACGCAACCTCAGAAAAGTGGCAACTTGCACCCTGAAGGAGAGGCAGAAATGTGGCACTGACATTGCACATTTGTGCCCTTTCCCCACACAAGAATGGTTGGGATTTCCTCTGTTCTATCTTTACAACTGAGCACCTGATCATGGACAATATCTTATATGAGAAAAGGCCTAAAAAAGAAAGAGCTCTAACCTGTTTGGAAAGGACAGGTGAGAATGGCTGCCTGATGATGTAGGGCTGTCTGGCTTTAAGCGGGCTTGATACATTTTCATGTAGCACGCAAGAAAAAAAATCTTATTCACAAATATAATAAACAAAGCAATTATTCAACCGCCATGTTTAAAACACTCCAATACTAGCAGATGAAATTAGGAGACATGGTGATTTTTCTGCAAATATGTGGGGTGGGAAAAATCAGCCAGTGCCTTTACCAAAATTATTCAGTGGTTATTTCCACTTGGAATACCTTATTTTGCAGAACACAGTGAAAGATATGATAAAAGATGAACGCACAATAAAGACACAAGACTGAAGACCATTAAGGCTTGCAAGTGATACAAATCCTGTTCACTCCCAAGGTGTTTTGGTTAGCATGACATTTCCATTTCAATTATTCTCCTGGGTGGGAGAAGCTTCTTTTGCCCATTACCTTATCGGATGGTCCCCGCAGGTCTTGGGGCGCTCCATCACAGACACCCACTTGTCATCGTAGCTGAAGAGCGAGAGGTCCAGATAGGGGCTGCTGCTGTAGGACTGGGCGCTGATGGGCAGCTGGCCCAGCAGCCGCCTCACCGCCTCAGTGTGCCCCCCATACTTGGCATTGACAATCGTGTCCTTGAACCTAACCAAGAAAACGCAGGGTTCTTAATAGGAGGGCGCGCCATCTGAGTGCCACTGATCACCCTGCCCCCTTTAGTATACCTGCTTAAAATGTTACAGCAGACATCAAATGTACCTTTATTGAACATAGTCCGCCACAGGAAAAAGAAAGCATACTGTACCATTAATCATGTGGCAATACAGCGTTTTTAGAAAACTCTGATGGGGGATGCAAAGGAACAAGTAATAGGTTTATTCCATGCTGAAAAGAGAAGAGAGAAAACACGTTTCGGCTGAGGAGCCTTCTTCAGGTGTGGAGGTGTGGTGTGGAGCCTTTTTCACACCTGAAGAAGGCTCTACAGCCGAAACGTTGCGTTTTCTCTCTTCTCTTTTCAGCATGGAATAAACCTATTACTTGTTCCTTTGCAGCCTATGCGTGCTGACACAGCTACCTAGCTGATAACAGTTACTCGCTATCACCTTTAGTACTATAGGCCACCCTGGATGAAAGCGTCGATTAAACTATTCTTGCATGGGGATGGAAATGAAGCCTTCCACCCGCTGTGGGTCTGTGGGTGCTCCACTGCTGACTAAACCTGCACAGATCCCTGCCTGAGGCAACGCCTCGCTCCTCCGCGTCACGTGCTGTACACTGACCTCCGCTGTACCTGCCGCGCAAAGCTGTTGCTGGAGGCGGAGCAGGGGAACTGCACGGCGTCACTGTGGAGAGTGGCGTTGCGGAAGAGGTCGCAGAAGTTCTCGAACAGCTCCAGCAGCTTGTCCGACGTGTTCTCGAACACCGCGAGCACCTCCGTGGTCACCATGTTGTACACCACGAAGAACGAGGGCTGGGGGGGGGGGAAGGAAACAAGAGGGATCGCTTTTTTCCCCACCCCAGTCGTTTTTGTCACATATCCACCCGAACTGGGATCTCCTCAGCTCGCAACTACAAAGAGTGCAGCCCCGCATGGGTTGAAGAGGAGCAGGAGGCACGGAGAGACCTCTGACCTGCTGGCCCTCGAGCCGCCTTCGGGCAGGCCACAGGACGCACAGCCTCGTACCGCAGGCTCGGTGCCGACGGGACGAGAGAGGCACCCAGGAAGCTCTGGGGTTACAGGGTCACTGGGACATCAGCCATCCAGAAAAGCTGCAAGCAATTACTATTATGATTATTATCCAAGCCTTCTTATTACTTATCTATTGGGCTGAGCGATTCACTTTTTTTCTTTTAGTACTGTCAACAAAACTAATTAGGCACCAATTTGTCTAGCGCGTTAATCGATTTTTTGTTGTTGTTTTTTTTTGTTTAAGGTGCAGGCTCTTGTAATACTAGTACTAATGAAGAGGGAGGCATACTGTAAGTATACTTTTTAATCTCACAAATCTGAAATTTTCTCAGAAGAACCTAACTTGCTTGAAATGCAATAGATTCAATATGTAGCACCTAATAATGATTTATACAATCTTGAGCAAAATGTGAAATGGATCACACTACTATGCCATTGGGGTCTTAGGGGTTTCCCTTAAAGTTATTTTTTTTACCAAATCATAAACTATACAGTTTCAGTACTATACAGTACTGATATCTTAATATGCTCTTCATATTCATATAGAGCCCAGTTTTATTCAAATTAGATGCCCTGCATAGTTCCAGAACTATCTCTTAGCTGTAGTACAGAAAAGAAAAATTGTACTACTGTAGATATAACAGGCAAAACATGTTTTAACAAAAATATTTTCTAATTCAGTCCTTTTTTCAAACAATACAGAGTATTGTAGTACAGAAGTTCAAGTGTAACTGGTCTTCTGTATTTGCAGAGCACAGACAGCTGCACACTGGTCTGTGTCCACTTTTACCCAAACTTCTTTTGGTCCTTTGGAAAAATGGCACAAAACAATTTTCACTATAGACTGAGCTCTGAACAAGCGACAAAGTTCTAAAAGAAATATAGGTTTCTTCACCTCAAGTCTCATTCATTATAATTACAACCAAATTATTAAAAAATAGAAACAATTCTATTACTGTACTGATACATTTTTAAATTCTGTGCAATTTTGTGTTATGCTGAACACATTAAATTAAGCAAGTGACAACACTAGAATTTTAATTAAGAGCAAACAAAAACCACTGTACTACTCACACCTTCACTACACCTTCCTGCCTCATGATTTCACCTTTTCCTTAAAGCCATTATTTCAGACAAAGACAATGAAGACATATCAATAACCTTATTCATCAAATACGTTGTCAAAGATGGGCCTGATTTAGTTTATAAAATATTGTTAGCTATATTATCCATGTGCCTGAAAGTGCCTATACCGTACTGCCTCGCCTGAAAGGGCATTCTACTTGTTAAATAGATACACTTGTTTTATTAAGATAGTAAATGTTCAACAAAATACACTCAAACACTAAGATTTCAAAATTGATGAGTACTTCTATTCTTTATATGTCACAGTTCATTCATGGTGTGTTTCATTGTTACTATTCTGATAGAGGTATCATCTAGCTATTTGATGAACAATATGTACAGTATATTCATCTCAGTGTTACTGGAGAAGACAAATGGGAACCTTTTTTTACTTTTAAACTATAAAATATAGCCTCAGAGTTGTAACTGTTACCAATGACTCCTTGGTATAATACTGAACTCAGAGTTGTCAGCTACACATAAAGAGAAGATCTATTAGCAATAACTTACTGCATTTAAAAAACGCTCAAGATTAAATTAAGGGTGTCCACTTCTCAGAGTTCGCACATAAACCATACCATTTAATATCAGTAAAATGCTTTTGCATCCAGTAAACTACTAGCACAATTACAGTTTTAGATAAGGAACAGTGACCACATATACATTAACTTCAATTAGCAGTTGAGAGCAAAATCCCTGCTGCAGGCCTGGAGAGCCCCAGTCTAGCCAATTGTACAGGTCATTTCTTTCTAATGTTTATGAAAACCTGATATTGATCAATTAATCACAGAATTTGCTCAGTCAGAGAATTAGCTGGAGTTTGAATCCTGATTCAAGCATATGAAAGAAACCTCCTGCATCCTGACTTGGTCCCTTTATAGCCTGTGAACATGTTAATCTATGATGTCGTAAATACTGCTGCATTCTTCTGGTCTGTAGGAGGCTTGTCTACAGACTAGGAAACATCCGGCTGTGTGAATGATGGGCCGGTGGCATGGAAATACCTGAGAGGGGTCGGTGACGCGCAGGGTGACCACGTCCTCGCTGGTGTACTTGATGAAGAGGTGGTGCTCGTCCAGCAGCTGCATCTTCCACATGCGCAGCTGGCGCAGCTGGTCGAACAGCTGGAAGAAGCGGCGCTTGGCTGTGGCGCTGCCGTCCTGCTCCGCCCGCCGCCACAGGTACACCAGGAGACGGTGCTTCAGGGAATTGATGGTCTTCTCCTTGTAGAGGCGGGAGAAGCCCGGCTGCCCCTCAGCCTGGGCCTCGGGGTACACGGCCGAAAGGGTCAGGAGGTCATCCTCATAGCAAAAGCGGCCTATCGTCCGTACATCGAGGAAGGTACCTTCTGGGGTCACCTAGGGACCAGACAATATCAAATACCCCCACATGGCTTTGTTTCTGCATTACAGACACACATCATGTCACCTGCGACCGGCAGAGAATGCCACACATACGACAGACTTCTAGAGGGGATATGATCATCACCCCGCGTTAGGAGTGATCCACTCCAGTTTTGACTTGAAATGCAGGCACAACATCCAAACACAATGGGATTATCTGGTCATCTTTCAGCATTCCCGATGGCCACGGCTAAACTCAGCCTGCCAGCCAGCCTATATCCACACATGGCCAATTTGCGTTAGTATCGTGGTCATGATTCGGGAGCCGGGGGGTTCTTAATTGGGTGAATTGAGAACAATGCCGGTCGTGTGAAGGCAGGCGTTTGGCCTGACTGGCATCTGCTGACATTTCTTAAGTCTCACCTCAAAACTTGTTTTTAGATGGCCTTCAATTCGTCATTTCTTTCTTTTCACTTCACCTTTATGTATATGGCTCTGTGGCTAAGGATCTGCGCCTGTGACTGGAAGGTTGCCGGTTCAAATCCCGGGGCTGGCAGAGGAATCCTACTCCGTTGGGCCCCTGAGCAAGGCCCTTAACCCTAACTGCTCCAGGGGCGCCGTACAATGGCTGACCCTGCGCTCTGACCCCCAGCTTCTCTCCCTGTCTGTGTGTCTGTGTCTCCATGGAGAAAAGCTGGGGTTTCTTCCTAATGCAAGAAATTGTATAGGGCTAATAAAGAAACATTACAACATTACATATATATTTTTGGTTCACTGAACTTATGTGTAGAATTTATGTGAAGTGCCTTGGCCTTGGCCTGGAATAAAACTGCGTGACTGGGTGACCGGCTGGCTGGCCGGTCGGCGGGGCAAAGCTACCTGAAAGACATGGATGGTCTGCTGCTGCACCGAGAGCACGGCCAGGATGTTGCGGTAGAGGTAGAGCCCCTGGTTGTGCGACAGGATGATCTTGTCGCACTTGAAGGCCCGCGTGTCGCAGAGGCGGCCGGAGTGCAGGTCGATGATGTGCAGGGAGTAGTCCTCCAGCGGCGAGCGCGGGTTGGGCGTCACCGACTCGTTGTTGCGGTACACCTCGAAGAAGTGGGGGTGGGGCTCCTCGGGCAGGTAGGCGGCGGAGCCCACGATGACGTAGCGGCAGTCGTCGGTGAAGAGGCTGCACTCGCGGTTCAGGTGCTCGCCGCTGGAGGCCACGTTGGTGACGTGCAGCAGGGAGAAGAAGCGCTCGAAGAGGCGGCCGCGGATGCTGAGGGAGCGCTGGTCGTTGCCGTTGGCCAGCGTCTCGCCCTCCTGGCCCCACAGCAGGTCCTCTGCCGCCTGGCAGCCCTGGTACTCGTAGATCTCCAGCGAGGTCTGGTCCAGGGAGAAGGCGATGAAGCAGCGCCCGTCCGGGGAGAACTTGCGCAGGAAGCACGGCGGCTTCTCCACGTTCACCACCGTGAAGTTGGGGAAGAGGTTCTGATGGAAGCAGCGCACCCGGTACCAGTGCGCCCCGGGCCGGCCCGAGCAGACCCTCCGGCGCTCCAGGCGGTGGACCACGTTCTGGTTCTGGATGCGGCGAGGTCTCAGGGTCGGGCACTCGTCCTCCATCTCACGGGCAAGGGCAGCTGGCATGGGTCACATAGCTCAAGAAACACCGCTGCGGAAGAGAGCGACACCCCGGCTGCTCTAGCACAGACGCACGGCACAAGCCGGCTGGCTGAGCCGACATCAGAGTGGCAACACAAGACCACAGGTCAGCTGTGCGTGAAGGTGTATTTCCCCTTTTGTTGAAACCTCGTACTGAAGGAGCAGAACATGTGCCCAAATCTGGTATTGTGCAAAAAGACGTTTTAGGGCGGACAAAACTTCTGTTGTTGACAACTATTCTGTTGTTTCAATTCAACTGAAACCGAATAGGTGTCTTGTGTTATCCCATCAGCTTCCACAGCGCACGCCTTAAACTAATCAAACAGAATCATGGGAGGGAGGGGGCACCAAAGTATTTCTTGAATAATGTTTAGAATGACCACACATGTAGACATTTAATTTCAGCTAATCGTATAAACGACGATACTTACGTTTCAAGTTTTATAATTCACTTGTAACTGTAACCAATCTCAGTAATGGTTTGGAGCTAACTTCTAGCGTTATACACGTGGGCAGATAAAAACAGAAGGAAAAGGTTGCACCAAAAGAGAAACAAAGTTTAGATTCATATGAGCTGCTGGTTACGTACAAACAAAAAACACTCACCTATCTAAGGAAATCGCAAAGCAAAATGCACTACTGAGATAATACCGTCCTAGCGATTCAGCAACACACATGACTCATGAAAATAAGAATACCTAAACTACATCACTAATTCGGACGACGGCTTCCCACACTTCTGAATAATAGCAGCCAACAGCTTCAAGGAAACATACACTTTGAAAAGTGTTTTATCTTTGTCGCCGTATTCCGTACTACAAACTAGCTCGGAAACTGTGCCAACCACCATAGACACCACACAGGAAGCGCAAGCGCTGGTCCAAAATAAAACGAAGCGCTCTCCTCACAGCGGCCCCTTCAGGTGAGAAGCAGTATTGCACAGCCTGCACTGCCTGACCTGTTGCTGGAGACTAACGTCACTAACTTCTATAGAGAGGTTTTGGTCACGCAGAATTTTCTTTAGAGTCTCAGGAGACAGATGAAAAACAGAGTGCAGTGGGAATTCTTATTATTATGAAGCCTAGTTTCCTAGTTTTTTGTTGTATTTTAACTATTAAAGTGTTTACCGCCAGTGTTAACCATACTCCAGCCCACTTCTTTGTGTTCACATTTTTGGAGCACGGGTTCATGTGGCACCTGGGAACTCAGATGTGCCCTTTACCTTTAATTTATCTAAGAGCAACCTGCGGAATACCCTGTCTCGCTCGAGGGAAAGAGTCCCGTCGCAGGGGTCGTGCTCTCGAGCTCCCGGTAGCCATGGAAACAGACGGGGAGGGGTGAGGCAGAGTCTCGGGCGCCTCCGGGAGCGACACGATTCCGCCGAGCGGGGGTAGTTCGTGCATGTTAATACGGCCTTGTGCAAATCGTGGTTCACGACAGAGAAAAAGCAGGACCCGTTTACCTCAAAGAAAAAGGGAATAAAGCCCAAAAGAATCTCTATTGCATAGTGAGCAGCGCACTGGGTGATCGTGCACGCTGCGGAACGTGGACGCTCCAGTGTCAGTGAGATATCTTTAACCCCAGACAACCAGAAACACAGCTTTCCGTACGTCGGGGATGCGCAAAATAACGTTTGAGTTATTTTGCTGGTGATTGACTCGGTCTGGGCATGTCTAGACCTCTGCGGGTGAAGATTTGGCCATGAACATCAGGAGGCAAAACTACTTAAATTTGCCTCTTGTCCACCTTCTGACAGACAGGCACAGCTCTGCTGATCCTGAGACACAGAAGACAGTACCGTGGGGGGCGGCAGGTTGCATGAATTTAACTTAATCAAAGCATGGAATACTGTATGAAGGTTTCAGTTGTTGTAAGTGATGAATACTGGGATGTTATAGTGGCCATTGTCCTTTTATACACGGCGTTAATGCCTCTGCGTGTGCATCACTGTCTTGATTATCACATTTATCACAAATCAGTTTAGATTTTGCATGTTCACCCCCGGATCCCCACCTGATGTAGATTTCTAACAGCTGGACCCAATGAGAAGCATATTGACCAAACCGCAGCACTGATGAACTATGTGCTGAGGATCACCCGTCAGTGCAATTTCATCTGCCCCAGCAAGGAGCTATGGACACTCCTAACCTCAGCTCACCACCCCTCAGCAGGCTGGTCTGTAGGATCACTGGAGAACGAACTACATACAAACAAGCTGCACCCCGCTGTGGTCAAGAGGCCAATTACTCAGACATCATGTAGCCACAAAAATTACTTGTTTTATTAACATCCATGCAAAAGCAATACCGCTCCTTAGCAAACACATCACATCCGCTTTGTCAAGGCGATGTCAGAAGACCTGGGCGGACTGACCCTGCTCGTGCACTGAGACAGCGCAGAGACCCCTTCCCTCTGAGAGGGAGCATGAAAGAGCAGAGCTGTGCTCCTCAAGCAGACAGACTCATCGATTCCTTTACTCTGCTGTTCCATTGAGGGTGACCTCGCCCCTCCTGAGCTGGCCTGGCCATCGGTGATTCCTTCCATTCCAGCGCTGGTGGGTCACTGAGCTCCATCAGTCAGCCCTGCGCCTGCCCCAGAACTTTACTGACCGCTGCTTCAGAGCGACTCGACTCCAGCCAAGGCCTGGAGCTGCAGGGTCTCCTCTGCTACGGCTCAAGAGTCAACCACACCCTGCTGCTTTCTTCAGTGGGGCTGTCTAGGGAGATTCAGACAAACGCCATGTTGCTGTGTCCGTGAGAGGCCGCCCAGCCTGACACCCCGTCTGGGCTTTGACCCCCACGGCGGAGGGAACAGCATCCCAGGCCCGGGGACGAGAGCAGCAGAGCCCCCTGCTGGCAAGAGCTGGGAGTGAAGAGAGGAGCCTGACGCCCGTAGTTACAGCCAGGCGGAAGCTGTCCCAGGCCTGGTCCTCCCCTGGAGGTTTGTTTAGAACTGTATACATTTCAACACAGCAAAAATATTGTGAACGTAAATAAAAACAAACAACACACGCTTCCATCCCATCTGAATTGCAGCAGGTGCTCGTTTCCAGTAATTGGTCAGCAACGATAGCCTTTATTGACCTTCTTCTTTTATAATTTCCACAGCTGAGCACATGAACCAGGATTTCTGTTTTTTATTTAAAACACGATGTTAACAACGTAATGTTTACATTGTAGTGCCACGCTGAGAACAGGGCGGGGGGGCAGGACTACGGGACTGTATATAGTAGGGCGGGGGTTGGCAGACAGCCCATTCCCTTCCCACGTTAATAAATGTGTTCAACCCTATTCCCTGAGTCCCATGCCTGCTCCATTCCGTACCGAAACCCGAATTCGTTACAGTATTTATTTATGAGGAGTAAACATTTCTCTAATCTAACGTCAGAAGGTTCTAAAATTAATAATAACCTTAGAGTGAAGGTTAGCAGACAATAATGTGCCTAGTTTAATGCAAAACATATTAAAGAAGTGAATAAGTATTTCCTATGTCCTACAGATGACTCCTGGCATATCATTTTGTGTGCTTTCCGATAGACGGACCTGTGCGCTTCAAGACCGAAAAAAGACGTTAAAAGCAGAAGGAAGCCTACAAGCCTGGCCTTGAGAGCAGCATAATGGGTCTGTAGCCAATTATCTCTGCCCCAAGTATGTAGATTATATAAGTTGTAATTTTCTGTAATAGCAGGCTGTACAATTTGAAAAAAAAAAGGTTTTAGTGAAAAAAAAACATTAGTGTTCCGATAAGTGCGACGTGCGTTTTCCGGTGTCGCGGTGCGCTGAAAGATTTGGCCAGTAATGTCTTACTATTTAAAAAATGGTAGAAAAACAATATGCAGGTACCTATTTCAGCCTGAAGGGTTTGAGAAGAGTTTTATTATTATTATTATTATTATTAGAATTTTGAATGGGGATTGGAGGAGGGGTATTGCAAACCCGGCACAAGCAGCTGTTCCTCGCTGGGGCTTTTAGCAGCTGCCGCTAATGCGAGAGCGGACCGCACAGGCGCTCTTCAGCAGCGAAGGTCAGAGCCTACTTGAGCCCCATTTGCTCCTCTCAACCAAACAGCTCTCTTTCGGGGGCACTTACAGGCAGTGGCAGAAGCCGGTTTCCCTCTTGGCACTCGGGCGACGGGGAATCAGGTCGGTATGGTCCCAAAAACAGCAGAATTTGCTCCTTGCGCCGAGTGTAGTAAGACGAGCACCTCTCTGAAGAGGTGTACTTCTTGAAGAGTAAAAGGTAACCTGGCCGCAGCAGTAGATTTTAAATCACAGTGAACCCTCTTTTAAAAGCTTTAAATCACTCCCAAGCAAAGCTATTCAAGCCGGAAAAAAACAGCACGTGGCCATTTCTAAATCGTTTATCACAATCACCTTGAAATTTAAATTACTTTTTTTTTCTTTTTGTTTTTCGACACCAGAACTGTCATTTCGTTTTCAAGGATCTCTAAATAAAATTTAAAAAATATCTCAGATGTGATTCTTGGAGTTTTTGTGGTTAGATCTGTTGTTTCCTGCAGCTGATGGGCCGGAGCCTTAGCTAAAGCATTTCTCTCTGTGGTCTTTTTGTGCTCTTGGCCTTGTCCCTAAGTTACTTCAGAAAACTGCTCTAATACATTGTCAGTGCACAATACAGCAAGGATTTCCAGAGTTTGCCTACACATCTCTGCTAAGAATGCTCTGTCTGGACCCCTTTATGTTGCCACACAAAAGTGGAGCTTATCTTTTTCTTATTTGAATGAATCAATTCTTAAGTTAACCCTTAGCCTTAGGATTTCGACAGCAGAGCCCAACACTGCACAACGGGTCTGAGAAGGAACATGTCAGAAGCCAGGCCAGGTGTCTGCACCACACCACATCCCAGCATTCACACCAGAAGGGGCAGCTGAGGAAACAGCAGAAACTACAGCAGGGACAGGGAACATTCTGCTCCTTCTCTGTCTCCACATTAAGCAATGGATGACCTTGGTTTATACAAAACGTTTCCATTTTTCGTCAGTGTCTCATACTGGAAAGCACTTTGAGATCTATGCTTTTAAAGTGTGGCATAAAATGCAGTTGATCATCATCTCCTGATATATCCTGGTAGGGATGGCTTCTGCAAAGACAACAACAAGTTTATTTTTATCAGCGCAAAAGAAAGATGTATAAAGGGGCACCGATCAGTTCCAAACACCAGCAGTAGCTTGGGGAACAGCACGCTGAATAAGCTAGGTGAAAAGGAACACAGCTGAGGAAAGACCCACAAGTAGAGAATGTGGTATTTAACTTGTTCTGAAGAACGAAAGTGAACAGTTACATCATCCCAGATGTCAAAAAATCATTCTTAGTGTCTTTGTCAGTTCACTACTGCGTGCAGCAAAGCTTCTCTCACTCGTGTGTCTGTTCGCTATCCTCACCCACCTCGTTCCTTCACCTTGCCATTCACCAGCTCTTGTTCTGGGTCAGTTCCTTCTTCCCATTGACATTACAAGCCCATTGATAGACGTATCACATTGCCTTTGTACTGTTACTTTTTTAGAGTGGGTTAAGGTGGCATTTTTCAACCTTGGTATTACAGTACCCCTGTGTCTGCACTGCCTGATTAAAACTTCAATTGCATGACTAACTCATTTAACTTGGCCTTTTTGTCATTTTCAGTTCCTCAGAATTTGGTGATTTCAAGCTGCTCACCATATTTCACACCCGTCGTCCTGCAGAGTTCTTCAGATTGTATAGCTGTTTTCAATCAGTGGTTAATAATGATGTTAGTCTTGATTAAGCCAATAATTGGCTGTTAACCTACCAGCAAACCAGCTTATTATATTTTACCTCCATTAATGGTTTATTGAGCAGTTTTCTAGATCCCAGAGTGACAATGAATATTTTCTCTTTAAAAAGGGTGGATATTGAGAACCTCTGATTCATTTCTTCCCGACT